TGGGACAATTCACGCGGGAATGCACGAATTACAAAATACGACACGATCAGTACTGTTTGCAACAACATGCAACAACATACCAACACAGCTCACTCCACCATTTCTTGCATTTCTTGGCAGTATGATGAATTGACGGTCCAAGAATATTATGGATGTTTAATGCCATCGAACATCTAGGAACCTTTTGGACCATGCAAAAAGTGTGTTTTATGGAAGTGGAAAAGAAGCTTCCTTGGATGACTCGAGCTCTCCTGCCTGCAGCGACGGGTAGCTTCCAACGTCTTATTCCAACCTAATAGATCCTACTAGCGATGGCCTCCAACCTACTAGCAAATCCTCCTACCTTCTTAGTTCTTATTCTGTCGCTTTCCATCCGGACCCCGTCTTTCAGTGACCTACCCGCGCATGGTTCAGCCTCTCGCCTCGCAGGAGCGCTTCCATTTTTGCAGCCAAATCAGTTCTGGCTGCAGCAGTGCAAGGAGCCGCAGGGCCTGTCACATGAAAACGTCGTCAGACATCGGCAGCAACGTCGTCAGACATCGTGTGCGACAACGTGTGTGCTGGTCTTCCACCTGCGTTTCCAATGTTTTCCATACTCTTGCAACGTCTTCCTGCTTAAGTCTCTACAATGATCAAGGAACCGACACCTTTTGTCCACAGAGGCAAATTGCATGTCAGTATTGCGACTTGAGGTTGGAGACCCAAACCATTCAAGGCAGCCCATCTTAACGTCAACCTCGCGGTCTTGCCTTCAATGTCGATTTATGCAGTCCGAGGGAAGCCTCGCAGAAATAGGTTCAGACAGAGTTTGTATATATATAGGTACTTCAATTGGTGGGCCTTCCTTCAATATTTCTGTAGTGATCGAAATTGGTTTTGGGCCTTCCTTCAATATTTATGTAGTGATCGAAATTAATGTTCAGTAGCAAGAGGAGATACAAGCCGATACAAGGAGCTTGAGTCAAATTGAACCGCGCAAAAACAGAAAGTGGCGCAAGTGTCCAAATCACAAACAGACCCACAAACCCGCATGCATCTGCTTGCATCTGCATGCTATAGCCTTTAGCTATGACGTTTCTCCACTGAATCCACACCTCAAGGCCAGGCAAGGCTTCTTGCAGAAGCCATCGTGCCTTCTTCGGCTCCTGGCGACAACGTATGTGATGACCTCATGTGACCGACCCCAAGCATCACTGATGTGCTGCAGCATCAAGGCATTTGTTGAATTCTGGCAAGTGCACCTCCCTGAAATGGCTTCAACAAACAAACGTCAAGCCAAATCATGCAAAATGTGTATGTATATACCTTGGCGGTGCAGGCAACTTCAGACACAACCCATGTTGTGGCTAGATGGCCAAACAAAGAAATCAACCTGTAGTTCTTTCTGGCCTGTCCCATGTTTCTGCAGTGTTTAGCACATGCCTCCAGCTCTGCCAGGTGCAATGCTGCTAGCTGCGTCTTGAGATGGCCCCAGCCATAGACCTCCATCTCACTCCATCTCACTACCCGCTTATGTTCAACAACATGTGAAAACATGTGAAAACAACAAGTCGCAGCAATCTTCAAGCCTCAGCCTTTAAGACTTTTGCTGTAGACAGACCGACGGGGAAGGCGAAAAAACGGTGCACTTACTTAGGGGGAAGAAGATATGAACTTCTATAAACTTATCTTGTGCAGCTTGCGCAAACGAGGAGTGGCCGACCACACCCAACCTCTCTTGCAGCTGCCCAATCTTTCTTTGCTTCCCTTCGAGCTTCACGAGTCTGCCTTGTAACAAAGTCTGCTGAAAAAGTTTGCGCAACTCATAAAGATGTGAACTTCCGGTCAGAGCATCGACGTTCTTACACAGTGGGCATGTCTGGGCAAGCTGAAACCAAAAGTCTAATCTGCGCTTCAAAGCAAACCGCACCTGGAGTCCCGGGTTGAAGCCACCTTTGTCGTCTCAGCTTTCTGACGTTTCGCCTGGCAAGCACACACATGGATAGGGAAGAATGCCTGAATGTCGCGGTGCAAAATTGCACAAACTCCAAGATGTCTTAGACAGATGGGGAGCCATGTCAACCACCAAATGCAGGGATTGTGCCATCTACTCTGAAACCACTGATGATATGCTTTGCTAAGCACACGGCTGGGGATGTCCAAAGGTTTTCATGGGAGACATTGGGGCTACAGCTTCACAGGAATCTGGGCTGTATTGCAAAGGCAATGTTATTGTTTACAAGGAGTAGTCGAAACGCGCTATGCAAAATATGGCAAGTATATTGTAAGGATATGGTGCCTGGTAAACAAATTACACCAGCATAGACCCAGATAGCTAGGCAGAATCCCACGACCTGTTGACACGCGACTGGCTGGCCTGCACAGCCAGCTTACGGCACCTCCACAGCGCGCACAACCAGCTGACACCAGCACCGGTGCGCTTTGCCAGCTGACAACACCGGCAGCGGCACCAGCACCCGACCAGCGCCGCCGCCCGTCTTAAACGCGCGCTCAGCCAGCTCACAGCACCAGCACCCAGGACCACAACACCAGCACCAGCACCGACACCCTTTCGAAAGCGCGCGCGGCTCATTCTTATTTGCAGTAAGAACCCCATAGCTATCCCTATTTGGGGAATAACAACGTATGATCTTGCGCGCGTAAGTTTATGCGCACAAAAAGTATGCACGCAAACAGGCCCAAGGCCAAGCAGTATCCAGCGCCACTATATTGACTTTGTAGCATTCCTGAAGCAACGGTCTGAAGAACGATAAGGCCGTACGATCTTGCACGTATAAGTTTATGCCAAGGCCAAGGCCAAGGCCAAGCAGTACCCAGCACGACTATTGTGTGTGTAGCATGCTGAAGCACGCTGAAACAATGGCCGGTTGAGAGCCTGACGTTGCGCATAGAACATTATACGTACAAAAGTACGCGCGCAAACAGTACAGCGGTTGACACAGCTGTCGGCCAAAACAATACCTGAAGAGTGTAAATACCCCACAGCGCTAATATACGAAGACCCTCAAGCGACACACCGTATGATGTTGCGTGCATAAGTTCATGCGGCCCATGACTGCTGGCACTTCGGCTGTTGGTCGCCCTTCACTGCTACAAGCGGCAGGTCGCCACCCTTCACTGTCAAGAAGCGGCGGTTGCTTTCACTTCACTGTCAGAAGCGGGCACCAGTACCGAGCACCGGCACGCCAGCTCACGGCGCCCAGCACCAGCACCCAGCACCGGTACCCAGCACGTGCACAGCCAGCTCACAGCACCAGCACCAGCACCGGCACCCGG